ACTAACGTAACGTAACGTAACGTAACGTAACGTAACTAACTAACTAAACTAACTAACTAACTAACTACTACTACTACCTACTCTCTCTCTCTCTCTCTCTCTCTCTCTCTCTCTCTCTCTCTCTCTCTCTCTCTCTCTCTCTCTCTCTCTCTCTCTCTCTCTCTCTCTCTCTCATGAAGCCCACGATTCTATTCTCCCTTATCTCATTCAAATCAACCAAGCCTAACTTATCCTTATCTCATTAAAACCAACCAAGCCTAACTTATCCTAAAAACCTAACTCCCAAACTACATCACAAAAACCCACACCATACCCAATTCTTAAAAAAAAAAATCCATAAATATTTTTTTTTTGAATAACCTAATTTTTATCTACATTGGAGAATGACTTTTGAAGAATCTCACATTAAACTCAATTTTCAATAGTTATAGTTGAAGAGCTCAAAAAAGTTTGTAAACATTGTTGTTTTTCCTTTTTTTTAGGATAATTATTTGGAAACATTGTTTGAGATAGGAGATGAAATAATAGAAATTATTGAGTGAATTCCTTCAAAAATCATGGAACATATCTATACCAATGTTCAGCACAATTAGAAAAGAATACGAACAATGTTTAGCCAAGTCCAGAAAATACACAGTAATAGAGTGAATTTCTTCCAAAATTGTGGAAACATATCTACCATATCAAGTAATAAATGGTAGATACGAGATAGAGAATAGGAGTACACTAATTAGTAGCCTCATACATAAAAGTTATAGAAGCATCCTGCATACTTTCAAATCAACAACACAATAAAATTGAAGTGGGTGAGTTGCACAATAGAGTTCTGGATTTCAAAGTTTAAAGGAGTCCGTCAAGTCACGTGGTCACAAGAGATTACAAAATCCACAGTCCGAAGTATACTCTTTGTGTATTACAAGTATCAAAAGCATTCTTTATCAAAAAGGGGAAATAATAAAGGGGATATCTAAAATCTCTCAAAAAGAATTCAAAACATCTCCACATATATTGCTTACCCATCGCTGTTCCAAATGATGAAACCATGTGCTGCGACAAAGGGGACGGCGAAGCAGAGTTTGAGATTGGAGATGAAGCTTTAGGGGTTGCAGAAACAGAAGCATCATTATTCTTAAAATCAGGTATAGATAGGAATTTTGGATGTATCTCTGATTTTGGAGGGGAGTGATGTGCTTGAAGCTTTGTGAGTTCATATAAGACTTCTGCAACTTCAACTTCTCTTTCAGAAATGGAATACTAGTAGATAAATACATATCATTAGATACAAAACCCATATTGTAGCATACCAATAAGAAAATTAAAAGAGGAAGATGATAATTAATCAAAAGGAGTGGGATATGGAGAAAATTACTGACTTTTGCAATCTTTTGCGGCCTAGTTTTCAAGGTGATTGGCTTCTGATAACATCATTAAGAAGTGAACAAAAATAAGTTTGACATCAATTTATCCAAAAACATCAGCTTTAATGCACATAGAACATGGAATTTTGAACTGGTCAAAATGCCTGATGTCTATGGGAATAACCATAGAAATCATTATGATCCAAATTTAAAAGATGGTCTGACCACTCCATTATAAACCAAAAGTATGCTGATACAAATTTTCCTCCAAAAAATCTACACTCACCATTCTTTTTACAGCTTTCAAAGAAGAAGCACTAGTTGGAAGTGAAACAGATGTCAGGCCAGTTCTAATAGGGGAAGACGATGACTGCAATCTTTTGGAGCATGCTGTAGAAAAGGAATTGTGCAAGATCAACTATAGAATATCGAAAACCAATATGACTAAAAACTTCATCCAAACGGGTATATAATAACCAGAGCGTGTCTTCCGAGGAACAGCAACCCCAATCATCTCATTTGAAGCCTGTGATCATTTAAAATCAAACAGGTGAGAATAACATAAATCTAGCAGAAAATAAAAAATTCATGAATTACAAACAAAACCAGGAGAAATCATGAAGTGGACGCCATGATGAATTCTAAGAATGAACTATTCATGAAATTGACGCCATGATGAATTCCAAGAATGAAATATATGAAAATAATGAATCAACTATACTTAAAATATAGAAAGAGAAATGGGAACATAGTGCAACCTTCATCATTTCCTAAGAGTTCAGGTGACCCACAATATCCCACAAAAGGCAACAAATACTAATGCAAGTAGTAGTCGAAAAAGAATATCAAAACTTTGCAAGAAACTAATTGAAATCTTCAAAAAAAAAAAAACACTGCTACAAGATGCAACCCAAACCAAGAAGCAAAATGTTTCCTAAGAGGAAAATTACAATGAAAAAGTAAGAACAAGAAAAAGATATAGAACAAAAAAATTGATGCTGAGATTAAACAAATTTAAACTAGGCAAACCCCAACACCATACCACAGTAGAAACAACAAACTTCTTTCATTAGAGTAACATAATTGATATTAAGATGAGAACACCAAGAAAAGTGAGGTAAAAACAAAGGCCCACCTTCCATTGTAGCTTTGTGTTGTTTGGTTTCTTCAAATTAACTCCCCTTGCTGTCCACTCTTCCTCATCTTGCTCATCATCTACGCTCTCATCTGTGCTATTGTCTGCAACTTCATCCTGATCAGCATCAAAATGCCTTCTCCCCGACATCACCGCACGGTCCTTCTTATTGTTTACCCTTTCCCTAAGCTCGTTTACCCCATCTTCCATCTCAGAAACACCTACTTTGAGAATAAAAGTCAATAAAGAATGTAAAAGAAATGAGATGGCTCATCTTCATCATCTTATAATGAAACAAGAACGATGGGAAGTCACTGTGTGTGTGTACGTGCGCATGAGAGAGAGAGAGAGAGTTGACAGTTCACTTCATCAACAGAGCAGGACACATCCAAAGAAGTAACTAATAACGGCAAACAAAAAGCAAGATGAAGAAAAGGTGAACAAATAAGAAAATGGTGTAAAAGAAGAGAGAGAAAGAAGGCAGACAAATTAGACGAAAATTTACTTTTGCTCTCAAGTAGAAGGAAATTTGAAAAGAGACCAAAATATAACCAAATAAAAAAAAGGGTATATAAATAAAAAGTAGCTCCACTAAAATTAAATTCTAATTAAAAAGGCAAACCAATCAACAGTCTGCCACCAGGAAATTCTAAAACACAAAGCAAAAATCAAAGCATTCAGAAGAAGAAGAAACCCACAGAAGCCTTCGTAAGGCAAGAGAAACAAAAGCAACAAAGGAACAAAGAAAAAACATTATCTAATTATCTTTAAAATCAGCTCTCTCAAAAATAACTTGTGATCCATAAAAGCACTAAAAAAAATCTGCACGTAACTTTTTCAAAAAAAAAAAAAGATTTCGCTAAGACAAATGAAATAGGAATCAAATAAATAGTGAACAAAATAAAAGAAAATAATAAATAGATAGAGTGGGCAGTTACGAATCAGGTCATATTTTCTAAAAATTGTATGATTATGCGGGATTTGCATTACCTCTTAATATTCATCTTAAAAACTCAGAAAAGAAATTTTACAAAAATGAAGACCAAGATGAAGAAGAGAAAAAAAACTAAAGAGTCAGAGAACATATCAAAAATCTATAAAAACTAAGAAAAGGGGGGAATAAAAGAGTGGGTTTTTTTTTTTTGGTCCTTTTCTTCTTCTGAGAAATGGATTCTAATTACCTGAAGGAGTACAAATAACCAAAGAAAAAAACTAAAACAACAATGACTTAGCAGACAATTAAGCCCTAATTTTCCGATTAAATGACAAAAGCGCGATTAAATCACTATCAGGAGGATACTATAGAATCGCACTGAGTTACTTGAAGTCAAACAAAAAAAATAGAGAAAACCGTGAAATATATGGAATGGAAAATAGCAGAGAAAATGCCTAATTCTGAATGAAAAATAAACTTTTTCCAGAAAGAAAAATTATGAAAATATGAACGGGTATACTAAGATAAAGGAAAAGAAAAGACATAATAGGAAGATACCAAAGTATCAACTTTATTCAAAAAAAAAAAAAAAAAAAGGAATGAGAAAAGATCAGAAGCAAACCATAAATAATCTCTAATTACCAGTAACAACCCTAAATCATGCCGAGGAAACTATCGTCCCAATATTAGAGGACTGACCCCAATTTCTCCACAATGGAAAATTTTCCAAAAACAAAGCAGTAGTAACTATATTTTCCTTAAAAAAAAAAGAGTCTTGAAATATTGAGAAAACATGAAAATTCTGAGATAAACTCATAGAACTGGCTCTAAAGCCCTGCAACTGAATTCAACTGAAAAATCACTGACAATGGAGAAAAATACCGTAAATTTCACAGATCTACCAACCTGATGACTCCTTCAACCCACTCCTACTCCTTCGACGAGAAGCTCCATTAAAACCTTCCCTTCTATTACTCATACTCTCTCTTCCCCTCTCCATTCCAACCACCATAGCCACTACCTTCGATCAAACCACCATGGCCACTACCTTCGATCAAACCACCATAGCCAATACCTTCGATCAAAAGGTTTGAGTCTCATGCAACTCTCGGAAACCTATGGTTCAATTCTGAGGATGCAAGTTAAAACCTTTGCACGCCAGAAACCCATTGGAAAACGGCTGGAGTTCCTGAAAAGTAAGTAAATCCCGTCGGTTTTTGGACCAGAATGGACAAAAAATGGCGACTTTGGCCGGAAAATGGCGGTTTAGGGCCTTATTTTTGCCCTATTTTAGAGAGAGAAAGAGAGAGGAGCGACAAAGAGAAAGGCGGAGAGTCCCCTTTCTCTCTGAAAATGAAGCGGCGTAAAGGCTCTATCCACCACGATGACACAAAGCTCACATCGGAGAGAGAATTGACGGTCAGGATCGCTCCATGCTGAGAACGGCGCACATCTGACCGTCCAAACCATTGGCCAGCATTCGAAGGCTGGGATGAGCCTTTTCCATCGTGTCTCGACTTACACCGTCAGATTGGCCTTAAAGTCTCTCGGCTTTTAAGCCACGTGGCGTAGTTTGAGTGGTCTGTTCTGTTAACCGAAGCGTTGATGTCAAATCGGTCTAGTTAGATCTCGAGGGCCACCGACACCAGCCGGTCATTTTCCCGGTACGGTTCACCCCCAGTAACCGGCATGGGGCCCTCACTTCCGGGTAAACTGTTCCAAAAAGTGATCCACGTCGGTAGTCTTAAATGGAAATAAAATAAAATATCAAAATAAGGAACAATGATCCAATGCCACCGTGGTATCATAATATAATGCAACCATATTTTTTAAAAATCATGTTTATCATAGTTGTATGACCCAAATTTTACATACACACTCTCTTCATCTCAATAATCAATCTTTTGAAAAATAAAAATTTAATTTGGACCCTAAATATAGTCAAAATGTGTCCACACCAAAAACGAATCTAGACCATTTATTTTGTGAATTTCAACATCTTAGCCTTTATAAATTCAAAATCATTTTTTTTTTTATAATATTGTTCATCTAATGATAATAAGGCCATCCAAAAAAAAGTTGGAAATAAAAATATCCTTCTAAGGCCAGATCTAAGCAACAAACCAAAATGAACGGCCTATGTTAATTGGGCGAAAAACATACTTTTTAGGTTGTATTTTTATTTTTTTATTTTTTTGTGATTGTTCATTAGAATGAAAAGAGTGTATATGTAAAATTTTGAATTAAACAAATGGCCAAAAGATGGTTTTTTAATGTTGTTGCATTATATTATCATACAATGGTTGCATAAAATCATTGCCCCAAAATAAAATATCGAAAAGATAAAAAATTAAAAATAAACTGATCCAAGTCGGTAGTCTTAAATGGGGAAAAATAAAATCAAAATAGAATATTAAAAAGATAAAAAATAAAAAAATAAAGTTGAATTGGCCAATTTTCTATGATAGGATCGACTGGTTCCTCCCTATAAGCGATTTACGATATATGGTAGTACGAAAGGAACTGTTCTACTGAGAATTGAACGATTCCACATAGTGTTGTCAAATTCACCTTTTTTCAACTGAAGCATTTGGATTTTATGCTTAGGCCGAAGTGAAGAGAAGACCAGTGATGTTGTTTTGATCAGATTCGAGTATGCATCAAGCTAATTCAGTCGAAGCTTCAGTTGAGCAGGTGGCTAGGATTGCTACCTTTTTTAACATTTGTGAAGTGGCATTAGGGCTTAAGGTCAATTTCGCAAAGTCGGTTGTAATTGATATTAATT